AAAGCGAAATTCCATCCTTTCATTGATATAAATGATTCTTTACCATTTGCAATTGCAGAAGATAAAGTTTCGAACCAGCAAACATCAACACTCGAAAACAGTGATTTTGAAAATGTTTTTAATATGAATAATAAATCTGAAATTAGTAATCAGAAACAAGATACTGAATTGCAAGAACATTCATTACATTGAAGATATGTTGCATGGAAAAGAAAATACACAATTTGACAATAGGTTCGGTGTAAGATATGATACACGTAAAGACAAGTTTTTTGTTGGATCAGAGCAAGTGAATTTTAAAGATGCAAATATTACTATAAAAAATAAAGTGTATGAAGCTACACCTGGATTATATGAATTGTTATTTAGAAAATATCGCAATAAGATATATACTGATAAGGACTTAAATAACTATAGTGATATATAGCATACAACCCACGCATATAAGAGAAACTTTGATCCGCAAGATCGAAATGTTAGTTCAAGATCTAAAAAAATATAAACAAATTATTGCTCCATTATTACGTGAAAAGCTATCGTCATTCTCAACTTCAACACCAAAAACGGGTGGAGGTATGTTTAAAGAAGTAAATAGAAATAAAATAGATTATGTGCATTGGGATGACCCTAATAAACTTGTTGAACGACTTCGTTTGTTAAAATAGCATCTCAAATAGCTGGTCATACAAATCACTCAAATGAAATTGTTTCCATAATTGAAGAATTACGTGAAGTCAATATCATAGCATAATAAAATATGTGATTTAAATAACATGTTTAGTTGTCATTGTACAATACGGACGTGTAGCTGCACTATATTCCGATAAGCTTAGCAGTTTAAATGTTTGAGAAATGAAACGTAGACGAGTTTCTTATCAACTCCGAGAATCATCAATTAATAAAGATGTGGTCAATGAACTACACAAGCCTGTAAGACGTAATTTTAATAGACGTAAAGTTATAATAAAAGGTCTGTGGAAATGATTCCTTTTGCTAACCAAAATCAAGGTTTCAAATATATACTTGTTGTTATTAATTGTTTTTCGAAATATGTATTCTGTGAAAAAGTAAAATCAAAAAATGCAAGTGATGTCACTCAAGCAATGAAAAACATTTTAACAAAATTATCCAAACCACCAAAAAATTTACAAACCGATCATGGAAAAGAATGTTATAATTCAGATTTTCAAAATTTAATGAAACAATATGGAATTCATCACTACAGTGTTTTTAGTACTAAAAAAGCTTCTATTGTAGAAAGGGTTAATCGCACCTTAAAAAATATAATGTGGAAACGATTCAGTCTTCAAGGTCATTATAAATGGATACGCCTATTAGATGATGTTGTAAAGTTGTATAATAGCACATTTCATCACACATTCGAATGAAACCTTCTAAAGTAAACAAAAATAATAAAAAATGCGGTAATATAGTAGAAAACTCGTCACAATCCACCATAACTTTCAATCCATAAATTGTTGAATTTTTTCTAAATGAATTTACACTAAACTTTTCATCAACTTTAATACTTTTTATGCTAACAAATGATCCCATTTCTAAATTTTTGTTCAAATTACGTTTTTCTTGCAAAAATAGTAAATTTATATTATAATATTTAATTCGTACTGATGTGAATAGTACCGTAGATGAAGTAAAACTGAATTAAATATTAAGCGTGTTTCCTCGTTTATATAGAACAAATGTAGGGAAGCTAAGAGGTGAGGGGTACGGGGTTATTTTACTTAGAATTATTATGTCATGATCTCAAAATAACTACGACGTCATCAGTCTAAAAATAACTGTGATTCATCGAGTGGTGACTTATTGATCTAAAAATAGCAATCACAGTAGGGGATTCACATAATTTTCAATGTGGGACTGCCCAAAGTGACGCATGCGCAGACAAATTCAATGGGGATTCACATAATTTTCAATATGGGATTCCCCAAAGTGACGCATGCGCAGACAAATTCAATGCATGACATCATGATCCAAAAATAGCACACATAATTTGGAGTGGGGGATTCCCGGATCCAGGAGTGGGGGTCTAAATTCCCGGAAATGGCGCATGCGCAGATGAGGTGAATTAGAATCGGCACAGCTACTCGTATACTACTCTCCGACAAAATGCGCCTGCGTGGCTATTGAATTCAACTGTTAATTAGTGTCGTGTCAGAGTACCTAATTAGGTGGTGCCGTTGAATTTTTAAAAATTAATTGTGGATGATTGATTATTTTCCAATTGTTACCAAACAAAATAACAAAAATCTAATCTACGAGGGAAGTCAGTCTCGTAGTTCAAGGCACTAACTGCATGTGATAGGGATGAAATTTATTAGTTTTCAAGATTTTAGAAACAGAAGATTGGCTTATTCCCACTTCCCTTGCAATTACTCTTTGCCCAATATGCCGATTAGGTCCAACAGTCTCCAACACCAAAATTTCGTTTCCCAAACTAGTCGCAGTTTGTGTACAGTCGAACAAAGTGAAAATGACGCTTCAATAAACCAGCCCCTGCTGTGGATGCCGACCATTCTAACCGCAAGCAGGCAGGATCGTAAATTATCGGATTGCAAACTAGACGTAGTTTCAAGATAAATTCCTTTAGGAGCCGGTTTACAGAAAGCGAAATGAAAATTTAGTTCACAATTATTAAACTAATTCGAATTGTGTCGCCATTTATTTTGCATTGACAAAAGTCAAGTTAAATGAAAATGAGTAGTTAAGCTGTGCTGATTCTAATTCACTTCATCTGCGCATGCGCCATTTCAGGGAATTTAGACCCCCACTCCTGGATCCTGGTTCGTGAAATCCGGATCATACTCCTGGATTCCGGGAATCCCCCACTCCAAATTCTGAGAATTGTGTGCTATTTTTGGATCATGATGTCATGCATAGAATTTGTCTGCGCATGCGTCACTTTAGGGAATCCCACATTGAAAATTATGTGAATCCCCTGCTGTGATTGCTATTTTTAGATCATGACGTTAGGGTGGCAGTCACCTGATATGGTTGCTATTTTTGGATCGATGAGTCACTGCTGTTTTTAGATTGTGACTCATTAAGTGAAGCCCTAACGCCTTAGCCTTCTTAGATCCCATAAAGATGCATTTATAAAGCTGCGAACTGCGCTGTGTGTGTTTATTACTGATTCATCTCTCAGCTGTATTCATTTTCATGAAAAATGAGTGATAATCAAAAAGTTGAAGTTGAAACGGAAAGAAATAGACGAGACGTTCGACTCAAAGTGCAAAGTGAGCCTCCTAGAAAAATGAAAACGACAACAACAACCATAAAGTTGCGAAAGAAAAAGAATAACCTAACAAAAATGTACGCGGATCGGTTGAAGTTACATTTATTAAATTTAAAACGTTTAAAAGAAGACATGGAGATGTATCAAATGATAATTAATTTAAAAAAGTATCGCTTAAATAAATTAATAAGTACGTGTTTATTATGCTACATAGTGTGATAATTAAGGCTCGGATTATATGCAAAATGCATATTTGTTTTATAAGAGGTATATCAACAAAACTGTAAGTTTCCTATGCATATCTAATGTTTTTTGATTAAAATAAGCCAAATAAAAAATGCATATTTTGGCAACTTCGTGCATATTTTAGGAAATACTGCATATTTGATTCAAATCACAAATTTCCTATTAAAAATTTCAGTTCAAGTTAAAAAAAATTGGACGGTTTAAGAAAAATGATCCAATTACAAAATATTTTAAAGAGAAAACAACCGGCAATAAATTAGTATCCTGCTGAATGTTTCCATTTGTTTCCAAAAGATAATAATTAAAATTAATGTAATACAAAAAAAAAGATCTCATTTTGAGAACATTTTTTTTTGTTTTTGAGTTATTCGATTTTTGTTGTCAAAATTAAGATTTATATAATTTTTTATTTTTTTTTTAAATTCAATATGAAATAGATAGTTGTAATCCCTTAGATTATGACCTTCATGAAAAAAATATATTTTTAGTGGGTTGCCATTAAAAAATATATATATATATATATTCTAAACACTTTATGTAATAAAATATAAGTAGTTGCCTGTAAATGAATTTTAGCAAAATTGTTTAAAGTGATCTGATCTGAAAAGTACAGATTTCTTAGAAAGGCTTAATTACTAGGTTATTAAAATGGCTTGTCTGAGGCAAAACCAATTTATTTATTCTCTTTTGTTCATCGTGTGCAGTTCAAGATGCCGAAAATACAAAGTTTAGTGTACTCGAGGATAAAAATTTATCTCAACTTCGATTTTTTATTGTTAAAAGTTTTGCATATCGATGCATATTTGGCATATATTGGAGCATATTTCTTAATATGTTGTGCATATTTTTGTAAAAATACGTGCATATATATGCGCATATTTTACGAATATTTCGTGCATATAATCCGAGCCTTATTTATCACAATAATTATATGAATTAACCACAACTTGTATTTTTACTTGACGGGGATTGCACAAAGACTGTTGAAACTCATGCTGACACCCTCTTATTTATACTGGATAAATATTACATCATGATCTAAAAATAATGGTTACATCATGAACTAAAAATAGCAATGAAATCAGAAATCAGGGGATTCCCAATATTTGTGGTAGGGGATTTAGCCTGTTGTAATATTAAACGAAATAAAAAATTCGCCTTTTGCATATTTCCACTACCCACTACCCACTACCTCAGCAAATAAAGTAAGTTTTTGATATTGATTTTAATTATTTTTAACAAATATAAGTATCAAAAAATATAATATATTTGTCATTTTTTACTTGAATTTAATATTTTTTTATATTTCTTACAGATAAAGAGGGGAAACTTTCGTTCTCAACTTTCGTTGAGGAAACCCTTACCTCCACAACCACAAGAAAATGTAAGTTTTTAAATTAGTTTTGATTAATTTTGAAAAATATAATATAAACATTTTATTTTTGTAATATAATTTAACTTTAATGAATATATATTATTTTATTTTTTATATTTTTTGCAGATCATTATCGATCTCTTAACACCTGCCCCCGAAAAGACCCCAGCGGGTCAAAAGGAATTTGAAGAGATGTTGTTGGGGTTAGGTGAAGATTTCACAATTTTGGATGAGTGGGAGGAAATATTTACCAATGTGGAGGAACCAAAAATTATCGTGCATCAGGATAAGGTTATTAAACCAGCGATGAACACTATTCCTGCTCCTACTCCTGCTCCTGCTCCTGGGCAACCGACTAAGGGCATAGGAGCAGGAAGAAAAAACCTCAACCTCATTAGGGTTGAGGTGGATAAGGAGGAGGAGACGGAAGAAACACAACAACAACCCACTCAACCCGAAATGGAGTTTAGACAATTGGTTGAGGAAGAATATTTTCGGGTGGAGCTTCGGGGGATTAAAAGAAAGTTGGAAGAGAAAGCCGAGCGACTTAAACGTAACCGAAGCTTCGCCCAAGAAATTCTGAAAAATCTGAATACCGAAGAAGAGGAGGTGATGGCTCGGATGAACCGAGAATTGGCTCAAATTAAAAAGAGGCGTCAAGCCATCACCTCCATCCTCGAGAAACAGGTGGAAGAAGAACGCATCTGCGACACCTCAATAAATAATATTAATTTTTAATTTTTTATTATAGGTAGTTAGTGTTTAGTGGTAGTTAGTGTTTATTTTCTATTTTTTATAGTGTTAATTTTTTCTTTTATTTGAAAATACAACTACTGATGATGATAATTGGAACATCACATCAAGTAAAATTTTTAATAAAACAACCACAGCGCAGACATCAGAGCAAAGGGACTTTGAAATTGCTTCTAATTTATTGTCATCAACTGTAAAAACACCACTTGAAACTTCGTCTTCATCTTTTAATGATAAACCAGTTTTGCTGACTCTTGAAGAAGGTATTAAAAAATTTAGAAAAAATCTAATACAGAAAAAAAAWGAAAATTGCTGGTCTTATTAAAAGAAATCATCCCTACTACAGACATTTTCGACTTGGAGTATTTTGATGGAGTAGTTCTCCCTATTTGTTGTACTTATAACGCTAAATTTAGTGAACTACTATTAACAATTGATTGTTATGAGTACCGCGAAGTGGGAGCCCAGAGGATATTAAGTAATGGTGAATTTAAAACTGCAGCTTTACAATACATA